AATTTGTTAGAACACGACTTTGACTCAAAATTCCAAGTATATGAGCAAATAATAGATATTAACATAGATGAAGAATCACCAATAATACTTATATAAACTTAAGTATCTTTTCGATCCGAATTTTTCAATTCATCGAACTTAATACTTAGACATAAAATGTCGGGATTCCGAAAATTTTTCAAAATTGAACAGGTAAGGATAGGCTAGCTTACCAACGGATTAATCGCTTACTTACCGGCCAATACTTTTAGAATACAGAATACTTACCAGAAAGCAAAACGCTAGCATTTGATTTAGCCTATATTTTCAATTTTGAACTGATTTCCGTTCTTTATTTGAAATTATTATAGCAAATACTTCAAGTTTTAGCAAAAACAATCGCAGTTACTTACCTAGGAGTTCTTTATAAATGAAAATAATATTTGCCATTATTCACATAACTTTGAGGATTTTAAATAAATCAAAGCCGAATACACACACAAACCATCAGGCAGAAAAAAATGTGCACTAAATAGTAGATTAAATATGTGAAACATATTTACGCCCTGCAAGAAGATGTGAAAACCCCCAATTCCTGTACATGACTGATTGAGACAATAGTTTTGTTGGTAAAATTGGCCAGAACGATTAATGAGAAATTTTCTTTTAATCTCCTTATAACTCCAGCTACCACATTCATATTGAAAGATGCATTCAATGTGTGGTCTCCATTCCGCAGGTCTCAAAGTTTGATATATTTACGACATTAGAGCATTCAGTTTAGATGTTTACCTTGATCGAATTTCTTGTTCGGTCTATCCAAAAAATAGTAGTTGCTAAAAACGACGGGAATCACTGGTAATTGAGCTGAGATTGCCGAATGAAACGCGCCCTTCTTGAATGGATGAATTTCGCCTGTGTTTCTCCTAGTTCCTTCGGGAAATATCCATAATTTTGTCTGTAATCAAAATAACAAAATTATCATCTGAGTACTAAGTATTGTGCATCTACGTAAGAACCTCTTTGTTCAGTTATTCTCGCTTGATGATCAAGCGAGACGATGTTTGATTAATAATGCTAAAAGGAAGGAAGTAATAAGGAAATTAAAGTAGTTTCCAATAGTTCTAGGAACATACCGAAGATACTCCAAGTAAATTACTCGTTTTAAATATAGATTTAAGGAAATTATACCTTTGAACCAAGGGGGAATTGTTACTTATGCAAAAGTCTATACTTAAGTTAATGCATAGATAGCAAAGTTGAGTATTTGAGTAAAAAAAGTTGATAAGACATATTTAACGTCCGTTATGATATGCCTAACGCACTTTTCCAATTTAGCTATTCAGTCAATCAAAACTGTCCTTGCTAGTTACAAGGTCTGACAAAGGTGGTCTCGATAATTATACATATCAATTTCGAATACCATAATCATTGAGTCACTTTAGCAGGTATGCGAATTTAATCGCCTGACCAAAACAATGAAAATCGATACTTATTTGTTACTAATATGGAACTAAAACCATTGGAACGAGTTTAAACAGCTTGCGACAATAACAAACAAACCTTTTTGTAACATTAATTTTAATATGATTGATATGCGGTAGGAAATCGATATTTTTATTAAATAATGTAGCTACTGGTGTTGACAAGAAAAAGCCTCGATTGTTCAAATAAAATAATCAATACAACTTTATAATTAATGAAAAGGAATTTTTGTTAAGTACAAGTGATTTATCAGTGCTTAAATGTTTAATCAAGCATTGACCCAATTCAATTGTTGGACACTAGTTATATGTTTTGTCGGATACTAAATCTTCTAAAAAAATGCCGTTAATGTTAGAAAGTTGCCCCATTATAAGATTCGAATGTTCAATTCGGGCATATAATGCCCTGTCTTGTTCATCAAATATAAATTGCTACATTTCCTGTTCTAGTTCCTCTTTAGCTTCACTCGAATTAAATAAACATCGCATTTTATTTCAAAGTTTTATTTCAGTTAAATATTGAATTAGAGAATGTAACTGAATATACACTGCGCGCCTAAGTTTCTTTGCTGCTTCGATTTCCTGTGGAGAACAATTACGTGTGGTCGCACCTAATTTCAATCGAATTATATTGATTATTTTTCCAGTACACCCCCTGATGCCTTCTGCAATTTTTTTAACTAGCTTTAATTTTGGGAGATTTAATTATCATCAACATTTGCCAAATACTACAAAGCGTCCACCTTGACTGGTCTTAAAGTTTTTCGGTAAAAATATTGAATATTTTCTAAAGAAGAAATGTAACTTGCCTTTTCTTGAGCCACTTTTTCCACAGCCTCATTAATGACGGCCTTAGCTTGTTCGGCTTTGGTTTTCACTCTGGGAATGAACACCAGACCCGCCAACCATGCAGCCATTCCAAACGGCCAAGCCCAAAAAAGCTCTTTTTTGGCTATCACTGTACATCTGCCCATTGTGGACCATATTTGAAACATCCCTGTAAAAAAAATAATTATTAAGTAATACAATAAGCCAGAGAACAAACAATTGAAAAAATATTCATGTTAAAGTCGAGCAAAACCTACCCAGGATATCTAAGGAACTTTGATGATTGGAGACAATTATACACGGTTCTTGGGGTTCCAGGATTTCACCGTTTCTAAGCTCCCATTTAACGCCTATCAGATGAGTGATCCAACGGCAAAAATATGAAGCAATCCTAAACCAATCGAAGTTAAATAAAAAATTGTTCACACATTTAAAAATGATGTCTCAATCTTGCTTTAAACATACATATACCAACTGTTGCTGAAATCTGTGGTGAAATTTTCGTAGCAAGTAAAAAAACCAAATTAGGACTCAAATGTGTATAAGTACAACTATTAAGCATAAAAACAGTAAATATGAATATGATTGCAATAAGAGCGTAAGAACAAACAAAAAATGATCATGGCAAAATCCGGAAGATTTTGATTTTCTCAAATAAACAGTCAACTAGTAGAAGTCAACAAAATAGAAGCTCAGAAATATTTGAGAAATTCGGCAAAGATCTCAAACCCTCACTGGTTTCGCCTCAGCTCTTTTAAAGGGGGCGATAAAATAGTCCTGCCGGAAATTGTCGAAACATTTTAAATTCTGCCACCAAAAGCACCTCTAAACAAGGAAATTAAAATGAAATCCTACTGGGTACATAACAGCTAAAAACTTTCAAGAAATAAACATTTTCTCGGCCAAAACTGGAGCTTACTTTCCACTTTTTAAACAATCCCTGTCACCTCAATTTGGAGTATATTGTAAAGTGGAAAGAAACATAGCCAACAGTCCTTTATTGAGCCCCTATAGGGGCTCAATAAATTCAGCGCAACATTCCAGAATGAACAATTGGCCGGCTCATACTGGGCAAAATAAAAACAGCCCTCAAACTCTAATTATTTGAGGCATTTGAACCTGACCTAACCTACATAAACAATAGCAGTACTTACACCAAGTTGAAGACACTCCAGGGCCTCAGAAGAAACACTGGTATCAATATAACTGAATTTAACATTACAACGGCGTAATACACTAAAAACTTTAGGCAATAGCAAAAGGCCGGTCTGGTTTCATATAAAAAAGGCAACCCCAGCAGAGCCCCAAACACTAGGACCTCAATGTAGAGCGTCATTTTTTTGCTACAGCTGCGGTGGTGCTCTTAAAAGGGGCCGCAGAACATCTCACTTAAAACCGACTACGGACTGCCCGCCCAAAGATAGGGATAGGGAATTTATAGCTGGCAAATGTATGCGGGTCTAATGATGGGAAAAGAAAATTGATTATTTTCTGTTTATTTTTTATTTACGTTCAAATGCTGACACATATGATGCGCAACCAACCATACACTATGGCACGCCCTATCAACATTAGTTTCGAAACGATTCAAAGTATTTTAGCTTAAAATTAAATTTTTGTGAAAAATGCTAAAAGAAGTTCAACGCTTTTAAAAAATTTCCGATTGTTTCATGGGCGTTTAATCTTATGAAAAAGTTCATTTTCATGATTTATCAGGCGCCTTTCTGGGCATTGCCAAGTCATCAATAACTTTTTTACATTGACTTCTTTGTCACTGTTTGGTATTTCACTAGCTGTCAATCTATCACAACAACAACAAACTTTAGAATTTTTACCCTCATATTCATCCCACAATTTGCAGATTCTTGAAAATATGATCATAATCACTAGGAAATAATTATAAAAAATGAGCGACTTACAATGGATCACTATAAACAACAGGTCTAAAGCACCTCCATCAGTCCAACTAGGAGACTCTATTATCAACATCATTTCAGGTTACAACAAGGAGCTTCTTTGATAAACAATTTGAACACGAAGAGATACGAACTCCTTCTATCCCATATAATCAATTCCAGTAGCGATGACTACTTTACTGAAACTGAGTTGCAGAAACTGCAGGACAATTTGAAGCTGGATGAAAACCAACTACAGCTTCTTGTGCAAAGCATCGCTTACATCTATAAGCAAAGTAGAAGAGTTATTCTAAAGCCCACCGAATTGGAAAGTCAGTTGGTAGAGAAAATTGGCCTCGATCAAGGAAAAGCGGAGATTTTCACCAAGCAGTGGCTAGCTGAAACTAAAAAAGAGTTGGGAGCCTTTGAAGACAGACATACACTGAATAGTCTAAAATGGGAACTCAACATGCAAGTCGCTTCAGATATGGGCAATAAGCAGGTGATTCCCAATGCGAAAATACAGCTAGACCTTACTAAGGTATAATCCTCATTTCGTTCATGATTTACGACAATAAACGAACTTTATGGAAGTTTTGCAATCGAAATCTTTAAATCAAATGCTTTTGTAGGTCACTGATGAGACGAAAAAGGAAGCGGCAATATTGGAAATGGGCGAAGAAGACCTGCAACAACTATACAGCACGTTGGAAGCAATCCAGTTAAGGTTAGACAATATATCAAAAAATAAAGCATCGCAACCCAATTCCGCTCATAAAAAGGAATAAAAAAAGGACTGACATCAAATAAAAAGTATGGTAATAAAATCTATTTAGCTGAAATTGCGTTATTTTCACCTGTTTTAACCAGTTTATAATTGATTTCATTGTCGGTTTCCGCTGTTACTTGAGCATATAGTAAGGTTTGCATCATCCCTTCAACCATAGCTAGCTCCATGGCGAGGTTGTTCTCTCGGTTTAAAACTTCGTACAATTGCACCAAGAGTAAACCTAAAGAACACACCACTGTTACCTACTTCCGAATTAAACTATCTCTTCTTAAACTTCTTCATTTATCGACATATTTTTTACTCACCAATGTCTGAAGGCAAAGCGTCTACCCGGTCTGCTATGATATCGATAAATTCGTCTGCTATGGACACTAGGAATCTAGTAAACCTCTGATCGGTAATGTGGCTAAAAGTTACAGACAAGTTTAATAAATTAGCTGAGTTGACAGCTTTAGACCGCTTTACCTAATAAAAAATCTAACCAATTGCTTAATCGTTGTTAACCAATTAGGGAGATTTGAGTCTTTATATTTTAACACCTTCGGAAGTCCTTTCCTTTTCTGCAGCTCCCGAAGAACGGCCACAGTCCTTTCCGGGTGTTTATTTACGACGTAGGGCATTAAGGCGGCTTTTAAAGCCTTGGCATATTCAAATTTTCTGAAGTAGTAATCATATTTGGCTTCTTTTTCATTTCTGCAAGCAAAAAACAATCAGTTGAAATATCTATAAATTATTCTAACTACAAATACTTACTGTAAATCGGGTACAATTTCATCTACATTGGAAAGAATGTCATGGAATTTGTAATTAAAGGCCACTTTTTTCGGTCGTTTTTCCGATGTGGTTTCTTCACTTCGCCTCTGCACAGCGATCACTCCATCACTTAAGCCTGCTACCACCGTGGAATCATCCGGTGCAATTCCTGAAAATTATCAACGTAAATGTTTTGCCTTTAAAAAATGTGAGTAAAACATACCCAAGCTTAGAATAGCGTTAGGAAAGTCCAGCGTGTGCACAACCTAAAAAGCAAAATACTATTATGTGCTGTATAAAAAAGTAATGTTTCTATGGAAATTGTTAAGTCTTGGTTATTGTATCACGAAAAAATTATATAAATATGGAACTTGTTAACAAACATTTGCAGATTTTCAGATATCTAAATTTTAATTTGAGTAAATGCGTTTGTTCTATTTTTTTTTTCGATAACGGTTGCATTCGAAAAAAATCGAATTAAGCTTACAAAGACAGCAAAAAAACCTGAATGTTCAAACCTTAAACGTGGAAACATCATATATCTTCACATGTCTATCTAAACTGCCAGAGAGCAATCGTTTGCCACCTGAACCCAACTTTAAGCAAGTTACAGTTTTATGGTGTTGAGCTAAAGCGCCTCTTAGTTTACCTCCGGCTAAAACATCCCAAATCTAAAATGTAACACATGATCAGTACACAGAAGGAAAAAGAACTCGAGATTCACTTACCTTGATGTCTGTGCCACCGGAGCTCAAAAACATCCCCCCATTGGGCATGAACAGTAGGGATTCTACAGGGCTTTTATGGTCCATTGTCATGACTTCTTTAGCCGTCCGCGTATCCCACATTTTGATAATACTATCATAGCTGCCGGACAGTACAATATTTGGAACATCTGGACTAACTTGGCCTGCCCTTAAAATAAAAAAACAACATCTCCTTGATTTAGAGAGGGTTTTGAAACTAACCGAATATAATCATTATGTCCCTCAAAAGTATGCAGAGTGTTTTCAGTGGGAATATCCCAGACCTTAACAGATTTATCATCGGAAAATGAGACTATCTGTGGTTCTCTATTTACAAAAGCTACTCTGTGCACTGGGGCGGAGTGACCCTTAAACAACCTACAAACAGAACATAAAAAGGAGCAAAACTTCGGCTTTTTAACACTGTAAACAGCAAACCTTAACATACTCTTTGTGGACACATCAAAGATTTTAATATTTTTTTCTTCGCCGCCGGCCACAATGAGGGTGCCATCGCTTCTGAATACAGCCCCATACGCATTTTCCCTAAACCGCGACAGATTTTTGGTCACAAGTTTAGTGATGGGGTTGTAAATTTGCACCCTAACTGAACATGTTACTGCGAAATGATGGGGCTCCTTTGGCGAAAAATCTATATGGTCGATTGGGCCGAATTCTTTGACCAAAACCGGTTGCTGTAATTGAAGAACGAGGTTAAATTACACTGTTTTTATGGTCTAAATATCCAGTTTGAAATTTGTTTAATTATTAATTTTCAGTCAACGTTATTATTCAAGAAAAGTAGTGAATTGTCTACAACCTAGAATACAACATAAAATAACAGTTCTTATTACATACATGATTTATCAGTTCTGCTCAAATTCATACAGAGAGAATACAGAGGAATAATGCAGTCGTAAAACTAAAGAAAAGGAGATAACAGAAATGAAAAAATACGTAAATCTAATACTGACTAAACCGGGTGAAGCTAAATCGAGATATATAGCGATAAGAGGAAAAACAGGCCTAAAGTTCCCAACATGTTAGTTAACTCACCGTCAGCTGCTTCCAGTAAATAAAATCTGGGGTCACATCAGGGCCTTTCGCCTCGTAGATTTTAGTGTTCAAACGCTTAAAATGAGCCATTCGGCTGGTATTGTGCTCTTTTACGCTCTAATTTAGYGGCTGCTTATAYCCCAAATTCCTGTTCAAAATATACAGGTTATGTTGGTTGTTGATGAGGACATTTGAGGTTGAGTTGACATTCCACGTGGAAAATCCAAAAAAAAAATGGTGATTGTTTGGTTGAATGAACCCGAGATGACAGTAGCGTCAACAGTTAGGTTTGGTCTCTGCGATTTGGCAACAGTCTGGCGTCCTTCCCGATTTAAATCGGTTTTATGGCGCGGTTATATTCAATCAAGTGTCGTACGACAGAAACAGAAAAAACGAGAGTTTTTTATTCAGAATTGAACCATAAATTAGAATGTATTTTTTAATCTTCAAAATACCAGTGGCGTTCACTACCCAAAAAGTTTCATTAAAGGTAATCGCAGTTTTCCAAAAATGTATAATTTTGCATCTTTTGAGTTTGAGCCCTGTATTGCAAAATCGAAGCTTTTGTGTACCCATTAATATTTGGATTTTTTTCATGGTTTTGCAAGTTCTATTTACCACTGAATTTACGGTACTTATTTCTGAGACACCCTATATGTGTAGTAATATGTTAGTTGTGTAAATTGGTGCGTTCGGAAACTGTTCATTACATGATTTAGGGATATATTGATTAAATGTGTCTCTCCAAAATCAAAATATAGATTGCAGGAAACTGCAGAGAAAAAAAAAACACTGAAAAATAAAAACACAGTTACCCGCAGTTAAGCAGGAATGAACTATGATTTTACCAATGTCTTTTAGCTGCAGCATTTATTGTTTTTTCAGTTGAAAATAGCACACTTTCACCTATCATGAGTATAATTTGAGTTTTTTAATAGATCGAAGTTGATGTCTTTGAAAGCTCTGTTCATTTCTGTGTGTACTAACGCTCTAGTCGCAACGAGATCTTYATCAACGGTTAATCCTATAGTACTTATTGGTTTCAAAGCATGAATGATAACGACACCTGAAAGCAAAAGTTATTKTTCTTCATTCAAATCTAATAAACATCTGAAGASSTCTCCTACCTGGGTCRAAACGTTTATTAACTGAATCTATAAAATAGTATCTGGTGAAAATMACAGGCTGTATTGGCARTTGCGCTAAAATAGCAGCGTGAAATGCCCCATTTTTAAATTCATGAATTATGCCGGTGTCCTTTCGGGTACCTTCAGGGAATACCCACAATTTGGYCTGTAAATTATATTTYACTAATATAAAATATKGACAGGAAAAATTTGGGTAATTTTAAAAATTTCCAGAAYAYTCTTTATACTAAATGATCTTTTTCAATATGTAAATGTTGTTTTTAATCTAAAAAATGTGYCTTTATGTGACTTTTTAAACGTATGGTTTTCTGATGATTCAATTTTCCAGTAACAGACTATGTGGAAATAATGATTTAACCTCGCAAATAGACTAGAATTTGATGGTGATTTTATAAATCCAGTATAATTCGTAGGTCGACTGTACAGGGTGTCCCAAGTATAGAATAAAGTAAGTTCACGTAACCGGTATTATTTGTATCAAAATGTTCATCGTCGTATTGGAAAGGTTGGATAAGGATAACATATTTTAAAATAATTCACAATTAACTACTTTTTTCTAATGGAACACCCAAATATATTTAATGTTATTTTGGAATTCTTATGTAAATTTCACTTACTTTCTGATATAAAAAATATGAATCGTTCATATTTTATATAAGAAAAAGTCCAGTAAGATTTTAAAAATAAAATAAAAAGTCGGGTGTTTCAATAGAAAAAAATATTTAAATGATGCCCGTTTAAGTAGTACCTTTACAATGTGACGATGATAATTTTTAAACAAATATTACGGGTTTTGCGTACTTTAGTCCATCGTTAGGGCGCCATGTACAATATTCACTGAATAAGTTTAGCAGCCAGTTCAAGTTAACTAGCAGAGCATTAACATACGCTTTCGATAAAAATATTGTATAAATTCGTTCAAAACATTTCAAACCGTTTCTGCTTTTAGTTTTATCAATTCATTCAATTTGCGTGCGTTTATAGCAATAGTATATATAAACTTTGTTTATCAAAAAGTATTTAATATCAGGTTTAAATGAAGGATATTGAGCCAAAAAGTGCTTAATCCTGAGTTCAGATGTTGCAAACCATGACAGGAATGATTACTATAAATATGATTGAACGCCGCAATCAATAAATGCCTGATATGACTATAAGCATGAAGTAGGGGCTAATGCCTTCTATTAAACTGATAAATTCCATTAAAGGTTCCACAATTTTATAGGAATTGGATTGCGCGATTAACTAAAAATATCGTTTTTTTAGCACGAATACCTGGGTGAGAGTTAATTGGTCCGCCACGTCGTTAATAATAGTTTTGGCTCGATCAGCTTTAGACTTCGCTCTTGGGATAAAAATCAAACCTGCCAACCATGCCGCAAATCCCATTGGCCATACCCAGAAAACTGCATTTCGGGCAATTACAGTGCATTTACCCATTTTAGGCCATATTTGAAATAATCCTGGTATTACAAAACATGTTTTTTCAATTTTAATACATCTACTTAGAGAGAGACTTGCATACCTAAAACATCTAAAGAACTTTGATGATTCGAAACAATAATGCATGGTTCATCTGATTCCAAGTAATCAGGATTTTGAATTATCCACTTTACTCCTATTAAATGGGTGATCCAACGGAAACAGTGTGATCCTATACTAGAAACAATAATACAACAATTGTTCAATAATTTTATATTTTATAAAAAAACGGCTTTTTTATAAACTCGCTTAGAAAATAATGAACTTTTTCTGAAATTAAGTGAATGCATGAATAAATACTTACACAAAGTTATGAACACTAAACGGATGGAAAATGAACACTGGTATTAAAAACAATGAGCCCACCATCACTATCCCGTAATAAGCAGAAAACTTTAGATAATATCTAACGACCGGACTGGCCTTAATCAACCAGACCAATCCGACAAAGGACGAAAAAAGAATTAACTGAAGATAAACAGTCATCTCGGAAGGTTTTTCTGCCAGATATGCGTTTACTTACTGTGTTCATGATAATGTTATTTTAAAAGGAGTTGAATTTGGGTCTAATATGCTTTATTGATATGATATCTACCCAACTGATTATTTTTATACTTGATTATCAGCAGGCAATTTAACGATTTTAGTATTTGACAACAATAAACACCCGCTCCTGCCTATGGTAAATTTAGGTATGGCTTGTTCCTGATTATGGAAAACGAAAGTCGATCGCACGCTTTTTTAAAAAAGGTTATCTAGTTCGTTATATGTCCAATACACAAAGTATTTTTTTACACTTTTATATATTTTTATTAATTGTGCTCTTTCTTGTATTTCATATATTTTCTTATATATATTATTCAAAACCAATGCAATAGACAATTGCAAATTATTCTAGACTCATTGATTTTAGTTCACTTGCTTATCAATTTTCAGCTGCTCCAGCGATGTTAACCAGAAAAAACAAAAAATACACTCAACTCAAAATCTAGAGATCGACAATAGTTTGCGGATGAAGATAAATGTTGCAAGTGTTTGGTTTTAGTGGCCGGTTTTAGTGCACCAAATTACTCGAAACTCAAATTCCAATGTCGCAAAATAAAAAGTTTATTTTCAAAAGTAGGAACGAAGCCGAATCTATGAACCGAGTAGAAGAAACTTTTCCATTTACAAAATTCCAACTTTGTCGACTAATTTGATTAGCTAGCGAGTAGCTAAGATAAACTAACTTTTCTTTATAATTATACTTTTCAATATAAAAAATATCTATAATTCGCAAACGTCTCCATTGTTAGTGAGAAGTGCTTCCTTCAAATATATTTCCTACACCCTTAACAACCCCAGACAATCCAATTCAAAGAATTAACGCCCGTTTTGATTTATCACCCTGTATTAAACTTTTATATTGTAAGAAATGTATTCAACAACACATGATAAATTGCGTTCAAACTAAAGTGACCTGTATTTCATGCATTTCTTCATAGTTTTCATCACTTTCTCTGATAGTTTCCGGGTATTTGGGCTTATTTGCGCGATGTTTGCCTTTGTCGGAACAATCGGGACCGGAAGGTTTCTCATAATCGGGAAAATACGTATTAGTATCGACTGATCTGCTCGTTTCGTGAACAGCTCCAAATCGCTCAGAAGTGGATCCAATCTGATCTGTTTGGCCATCAAGCTCAGCTTCGAACATATCAGGGCTCCCTAGCAGTTTCGTTTCTAAAACAGGACTTTGTAATAACCAAATTTCGTCCAATGTTCCTGAAGGAGTTGCACCTGGATTTTCTAAAACATATTCGTCTTCTTCCGCATGGTTCATCTTTAGAGCGTAGGTTTGATCGAATTTCTCCCAATCGGCATCGTAGCAATTCACGTATTTATTATACGATATGATTGGTGCAAACTTATGATCCCAGAGAATTTCGCTTGATAAATAGCTGGATTTTGCCTCAATGGAAACTCCTTCAAAGGCAATGTGAGAAAATTAGTTTTTGGGGTTTAGGAGCACTTACCAGTACTTTCCACCGTTCCGTTAAGGACTACAATTATTTCAACTTTCTGGCACTTCATTATTTCGGGCACTGTAAAGTCGTATAGTGGGGAGTTCTCGTCGATTTCGTGGTAGAGAATTAACGGCCATAACAAAATAATACTACTGGGTCCATCATCACACTTTAAAGATAATTCTGAAACGCAGAAATGCGCCTCGATTAAGAGACCCGAGTGGAGCAAGGAAAAAACATAAATGCGTGCAGCAGAAACAGACGACGCAGGTTCTAACACACTGATCCTCTTTTTCAGAAACTCATTTTGTCCCTTTCTACCACACACATTGGGCAAACTGCCTTGTTTCGCTCAAAGCGTTTACCACTGGTTATTTATGCTACCTGTTTGATAGTTTTGAAGAACTTCTCCTTCCTGCGAGCGCTCACACTTAACAACAATCGCTCTTACTGCTACCCCTGCCAGCCGACTCTTCTTGATATCGCCAACTCTGAACATAAAGCACAATTTTCCATTCCTGTGAGAAAGAACGGCATTTTTGGAAAACTGAACTGTGTGCGATGCGTGCTTGGCGCGGACCAATTTAGCAAAAACTATACCTAAAAAATTCTCATTTATCTAAGTGAATTATATAGAGTTTTGGATGACGCACTGATTGCAAATGAGTCCAAAGTTATGCCGATTAAGCACTGGCAAACCAGAACGAAAATTGCCTCCGGACATTCTTCTGTAATTACTCTTAGGCCATATCCTGTGGTGTGCTGAGTTTCTATTGAGTAGAGGAAGGCAGAATGGAATCCGTGGATATTGAGAACGCAAGGTGTCCAACCTGAATGGATTGTATATGAATATTATGCTGATAATTTAAGTGCTTTATTACCGATTTCGGCTTGGCGTAGCGGTAAATGATCATCATGTAAATCTCCATGCACAAAGGCGATTAACCACCAAACCAGCGCAAAGATCAGCCAGCACCCGAAAAATTCTAGAACTGAAAACGCGCGCATTATTGAGCAGATGGTCGAAGCTAGAGCTTACCTAGGAACTGGAGCGTCCACCTCCATTGGGCGTCCAACAGGGTTGTGAAGATATCTTGCAAATATCTCCACCATCGAATCTTGGAAATATTTTTCCTGTAGACGTTTTTGTGTCCATCTTTCAAAATCGCTCGCTTTGGACATTTTCGGGATTTCCACGGGATCCATGTTTTTCTAGTAAAATATTATATTTTATTTCTCCAGTTGATTTACCTGCGTAAATTCTCGCTTTACCTGCGTGCCTGCTCAGCTTTTTGAGAAAACCACTCAACATCCCAGATAGTCATGGTCTCATCACTATTTCAATGCGCACTGAATGTTTCTGATGTAAAACTTTTATATTATAAAATATTAATTGACTAACAACTACATCCTCCAATTTTGAGGAAATTACCTTTGCACTCATAAACTTGCACTCATTGTCGTGGGCAGTGAGTGTATATCGAGTAAATATTTGCGCTTGAAACGAGTTGCCGCCGTAAATCTTCAAAGCTTCAAACCATCTGAAAATTTCACCGCTTTGATAGAATAACTACGATAATCTGCCAATTTGAGGCTGAGTGGCCAACAAAAGATTTAAAAATAGCAAATAAAGAAATTGCTTCATTAAGGACAAAAGAATCACCATTTTTGTTAGTCTAAAAATAAGCAAATTGTATTTGTAATTTTATTGATATCCTTCCATTAAATTCAGTTCTATCTAAAACGACTTAAAATTTAGGCTCACTTTAGTCAGTTTTTCAATTTTGTTGGCTTTTTTACATTATAAGTAGTTCAAATGCATTAATACACCGTATTTTGCCGTTTATAACGTAAAAAATCTTCAATTTTTTAAGTGCAATGGTTGATAAATTCGATTTTGTAAAGATCGCCGATGAAACTGAACGAGCTAATGAAGTGTTAATCAATTGATATTCACCAGGGTTCAAGGAAAAATCGGAAATCTGTTGCCCTATGGATTACTTACATGGGCCTTTGATACCCATAAGTTTAAAATATTAATGCAACTGAAAGAAAATGTGAATATTTTGAAGAATACATTTGAAAAAGTAATTAGGCTTATCCAAGACAGCAACGAGAACTGAGGCCGACCTTGAAGCCTGGAAGAGCAATTTAATGTAGCAAATCTATTGTAAGTGTTGATTTATTATGAAAATTACTTTGATAAAGGCCTAAAAAAGGATTTTCTGAGATTGGCTAGCTGAACCAATTCAGCTCCAATTGTTTGAAAAGTTTGAGCGTTTTCCGTTCTTTCATTAACCATGAAAAACAGGCACACCTTTATAAATTTTTTCAATATCTGGATTTCTAGATTGATAATTTCGGCATTAAAAAACATACATATTTTAAAAATATCGAGACAAGTTTGCCTGTTCAGTACAAAATTACTGTAGTCATAGTGCAAGTAGGTGGTTGGATAAAATTGCAGGCTGACAATTTCAATCTGTTCTTAGGCTGTATTTCATACAAAAAAACACATGGATTCTGTTTACAAATTTTTGTATAAATTCATATAAAATCATCATTGTTTCTTGCTGTTAAAACATTGTTTCTTGCTGTTGATAACATCAAGCGTTTTGAAAACGCGCGACTTCTGGATCAGCAGGTTCGCCTTCCCTCAAGGGATAGAGCTCCGAACCCCATTCTGTTCCATTGTTACCAGATGTACCATTTACAGGAAGCTCTGTAAAAGTTCCATTAGTATTGGTGTTTCTGTCCTCATTTGCGCCTTCTTGTGCAGTAGTTCGATTGCAGTTGCAATGGTTTATTGGACGAGGAGGTGGAGGAGGAAAGGAACCAAAATGATGATGTGGGTGTCCGAAACCTGGAGGGCCGAATGGTGGAGGAGGAGGAGGCGGCGGATAAAAAGGCATAGGATAAAATCCATCGTATGGGTTAGGCAAATGTTGAAACTGATTTACTCTGCGTCCATCGTCTCCATCAGTGGCTGAAGGAAACATACCAGTTTAATTGCGATTTACTGTCTAAGTATCTGCTTACCGTTTTCAATTGAGTTTCCATTTCTAGCTATTCTGATGAGAAGGCTTTCTTGTGATGATGCTGGAATCTGATATTACACCCAAATTAAACTAGGTGGTGTTTTCTTTTTTGAAAAACGATTTTTGAAAAAAATATTACGACTTGGATTTATACATATGGAGTCATGGAATCAGTACAAAGGTGGTTTGATTTATCGTTGAATAACCAGAAAGTTATCCAGAAGAGAATAACGAAAAATTCTCAAGAAATAGCTTAAGCCAGAAGATAAGATAGACAACAAGTGAAACATATTTAATTTTTTTTGTAATGGACTTAATAAACGTTTAAGTTGTATTTGTTTTTCTTGCCTCACCTTTGAGTAAATCAGCAGCCCAATGAAAAATTGGGAAAATATTAAACTGCGCATTTTGAACGTTTTACACTGTATTCGAGCGCATCTAATCACTTTTTTATTATGTCCGAAATAAAGCAAATCTGACTTCTTATAGCATTGGTTGACCCTAGAGCTTATATAATATAAACAATGTCAACCCGATATGAATTCACAACGCAATAATTTATTATCCAGTACTGAATGGTTTAGGAATTTCCAAAATATCGTTTTATCGACTTGTGATA